GTGCAGCAGTGCTTCATTCATTCTAATAGACCAGCCTCCACTGGAAACCAGTTAGATCTCCACTAACATTGTACAGAATTTGCATATTTTGGGGGACATGCAATTTTGATAGATTCGGTGCACTGAATTTAATTTCTTCTCCATCCCTAGTCTCAAGCTGATGTAAGCTTCCCCTTGGCTCTTCAAATAGTCACTAATCAGATGATAGAACAGATTGCAGCATTGACTTAAAAAAACAAAAATAAAATTTAAATATATTATAAAAAAAACCTTTTCAAGCTCCATTGTCATCAGCCTGCAGTGGATTTCTTGACTGGCTCAGAAAACCAATATTGACAGCCTTGAGTGATCGTGGATGAGTAAGAAACAAGAAGGTTGTTGGTGGAATGATGTGGCAAGTACACACACGATTCTGCCCAAGTTATCTATTTATTTAGATTTATATATATTGTCCTTCATCACAAGATCTCAGGATGGTTCACAATACAAGGTGAAAGCACAAAAAGAAAACAACAAAACAATAAGCCCTGCACCCACAAATACATTTAAAAAGGCTATAGAATATTAATCAGCCCAAGGCCTGGTTGAAGAGGAATATTTTCACCTGGCGCCTAAAGATATATAAGGAAGTTATGTATTTTAAAGTTCCAGGGGTATTAATGCATAGCTCTCCCAGTGACATCTATGGGACTTAATAGTGCTTAACACTGACTGGATGGTGCCCAAATAGGTCCTGAGGGAAAGTCCTATACTAAGTCAATGGACAAAATCTGTTTAAGTCTTTGGCTACACTTGGATTCTGAGCAAGTGCCAGTTCTCTCCCCCATCTCTCACCACCACCCAAGAGACAGAAAGGTTCACACAAACACTTTTTCAAACATTCTGGGTTAAAGGCAGATCTAGTAGAATGAATCTAAGTCTTGAAAACACATAAAGCTGAAAGACGAAGTGGGAACGAGCACCACTCTTCCAGCTTCTTCCTTCAAGTCTACATACATTTCAAGGAAGGAAAATGATAGTCACCTTCACCACCTCATAACTAAGGTGGTCGCGAGTTGGGTGGCTAAGAGGCTTTATGGCAGCCAAGGGAAGACCTCAAGAGCACCATGGCACTCACAGGCACCGCACTGGTGTTAAGTGGTTGCAATATAGAATTTTTGAGCCCAAAAAAAAAAAAAATTAAAATGGGGAGGGAGGGGTTGCTTGTTTAAGGAAGAAAAAACTCAAATACGACCATTTCACCTAACTTCAGTCAAAAACATATTTGCGTCAACTGTTCATCGGCCTGTGGTAATACTATTGCCATTCAGGTTATACAAATCGCACACCCATAAGTACGATGAAATAACAAGAGGGATTTTGCTCTGTGTGATTTTTTTAAAAAGTCCCTCTTGTGTGAAGGAAGAAACCTCTGCTTCAATGGGCCAGCTTGTGGCAGCGGCAATGGCGGTGGGCCAGTTGCCGAAAAGGGAAGAGTACACATTCATCTTTCTACATTGACTGTTGTACGGCATCGCTCAGTTCCAGGAATTGTAGATTGTAAAAATGATATGTGCTTTGTGGTTTGGCACTTAGACAGAGCTTCAGCTCAGGCACCGCGATGAGCTGCCAACATCTGCAAATTATTACGTGTTAAGAAAAAAAAGGGCCTCGGGCTACAGCGCTGACGTCATTAACTGGTTGCACCTACTGCTGACTAACAGGGTGGAAATTTAAACTTGGAGCACAGCCAAGGCAGGTCACTGAGTTTGCTACTCAAGAAACTTCCCTTATAGTAATTCTGTGCTACGCAACAAGGTGCAGCTAAATGAAATGAGCGGTGAATGCTCTTCAGAGCGTCATGCCGGTACCTAGAATTCAGAGTGTATTTAGAGACAGAGAAAGAGGTCATATCCACACCGTACATGGAATGCACTCTTACAGCTCATTAAAGGCCATGGCTTCCCCCCAAATAATTCTGGGAACTGTAGTTTTTAAGGGTGCTGGGAATTATTAGAAGGCCTTCAACAAAGTACTGTTCCCAGGATTCTTTGGGGGAAGTCATGACTCTGAAAGTGGTGCCAGAGTACTTTAAAATATGTGGTGTGGATGTGACCAGATTGTTTATGGTGACAGTTTCTGTACACACTTACCTGGGAGTAAGTCCCATTGAGCACAATGGAACATACTTCTGAGTAAATTTACATAGTTTTAGATCGAGGGGTGCATTTGGAAATTCAAGAAACTGTCATGGGCACCTGTTTCACAGAAGGGAAAGCAGGCTATGGTCAATAACTCCACCATCAGCAGGCAAAACACCTACGCACACCCCAAAATAATTAAAACGTAAGACCAAAAGAGCAGGAAGTACCCCCAACCAACAACTAAAACGTACATGCACAGTCCTCTTAAAAAATATATATATTTGGGAGGAGCAGAGTGATCGAGGGTGCCATGTTGGAGACCCCATATTAAGCAAAAAATGCTAGTCTTTATGCAACTATATTAATCAGTGTGGAGTGCTACTGATTTTTTCACTAAATGCAAAAACAGTCCAGGAGATAGAAGTATTAAGGAACTGTACAGAAGTTGAGAGTTGAGAAGAGAAGTTGAGAGCTGGACCATAAAGAAGGCTGATCGCCGAAGAATTGATGCTTTTGAATTATGGTGCTGGAGGAGACTCTTGAGAGTCCCATGGACTGCAAGAAGATCAAACCTCTCCATTCTTAAGGAAATCAGCCCTGATTGCTCACTGGAAGGACAGATCGTGAAGCTGAGGCTCCAATACTTTGGCCACCTCATGAGAAGAGAAGACTCCCTGGAAAAGACCCTGATGTTGGGAAAGATTGAGGGCACAAGGAGAAGGGGACGACAGAGGACAAGATGGTTGGACAGTGTTCTCGAAGCCACGAACATGAGTCTGACCAAACTGCGGGAGGCAGTGGAAGACAGGAGTGCCTGGCGTGCTCTGGTCCATGGGGTCACAAAGAGTCGGACACGACTAAACGATTAAACAACAACAACCTCGGGTTAAGAACTTAATTCATTCTGGAGGTCCGTTCTTAACCTGAAACTGTTCTTAACCTGAGGTACCACTTTAGTTGAACTTTCTTCCTCCTTCACATAGCTGGCAGTAATGTGTGTTCAGCCAACTAGATGCCCAAACGGTTTGCCACACAATTGTGCAAGTGAAGCAAGTCTCATGACTGGCAAGCCCAAGGCAGATGTTTGTATAAGTGTTCCCATTGCCAACAGCTGCCTCGTAAGCCAGTGTGAAGGCATCTTAGACAATTAAGCGAGGCAGTGAAGAATACTTCTTGGAAAAGAACCATCTGAGTCATAGGAGAAAATGGGTTGAAGTTGAATTGCTATGGCTTATATTTTGCCACGTGAAAAGGGACCAATGTGGTAGGTAAACAAGTTGGTTACAGTCAAACCTTGGTTCCCAAACAGATTAGTTGCCGAACAAATCAGCTCCCGAACAGCACAAACCCAGAAGTAAGTGATCTGGTTTGCAAACGTTTTTCAGAAGCTGAACGTCTGACATGGCTTCTGCATACGTGCAGGAAGCTCCTGCAGCCAATCAGAAGCTGTGCCTTGGTTTTTGAACGGTTTCAGGAGTCAAACGGACTCCTAGAATGGATTAAGTTTGAGTACCAAGGTACCACTGTATTTCACAAGAAAAAATTTGCCTGTTCTGGCTGCCTTCCCCCAACCCAGTTCCCACCAGATATTTGGGGCTACAATGGGGCATGCTAGCTGAGGCTGAATCTCAGGAGGACATTAGGCTGAGGAAGGCATTTTTAATTTTTTTAATAAAAAAAATCCTCTGTTCTAAGTGTCACAAATATAAATGTCATGATTCATTGTGTACTTGGGGTTACTTACACTAAACAAAGCTTATGAGGAATTTACGGGCTTATGAAAACATAGCAATTAAGAGCTGATTTACAGAACCATTTTAAAAAAATATTTTCCCCATTGGTGTGATTCTCCTGTTGTGATTCAATGTTGGCCAGTGAACTGGTTTTTCCCAGTGCTCCAGCATGAGCCCTGATGCCGCTAACCTGCCGCCACACCAAATATTTAAACAAGGCTATGTTTGGAATACTAAATTACAATCTAAGTACAGCTATGACTATTTTGACGTGATGCAAATAAATAGATTTTAGTGAGGGTGGCGGGACAAAATGCCCCTTAATGAAGGGATGTAGATCCTTTTCCCCCACTGAAAGGCTGCATATCCTTGGGGAAATGTGTCAGGAGCCACATGATGGGGGCAGGTAAGGTTGGACCCCAAAGTGGTGTGGCTGCCCGTACCCTTATACACACATACCTTCCATCCCATCCATCCACACTGGCATGCAGGTATACCTGGTTTATCCACCATTCATTAATTCTCCCTCTCTCTCTGGAGAGGACCTGGGGGCCACACAGGAAATCTCCAAGGGCCACATTCCACTCAAGAATGGAGGCTTCCCTCCCTGCCTTAAAATTAGCTAGGAAAACATCCCAGAGAGTCTTAAAACAACTGAAATGTGACAGCTAAACATATGCACACTAGGTCATGTCACACATTTAAAAATACGGCCCTGGTCTTGATGGATGCATATAATATTCACCTTCTCTCTATTTGACTCAGTTTTCTCCATTCACTGCTGCCTCAAGACCTGATTCACACTCATGTGCATACCTAGCAATCAAGCCTATACTGTGTTAAAATATACTGGAGAACTTTTCCAAGCAAAAAGACCTCCAGACTGCAGACTTCAAGGATTACTGCAATACAGAAGTTTGTAAGCAGATACTGAAATTACAATATGCCATCACATTGGATGGGAATTAAGCAACAGGATTTGTTTTCCTCGCAAGAGGCGGCAGAGCAGGGTAGGCTGTGGCTTATGCCCCAGCAAGTTAGGTGGGTTGAACCAGTCTCTTGGTTCCTGATCTGTGGAAGCACAGTTGCTAAGCTAGAGAGCTCACAATGGGCCATTCTATGGCAACACCCAGGAAAGCCGGTGGGGCTAAGCAACTGACAGCACAGAGCTCTCTTCCGTGGCCTCCAGCTTAGCTTAGCTCTTAAAAACACATCTGGAGAGATCACTCTGCTGTAAATAACAAAAGGAGTGACTGATGTACGTGACTATGGCCAAAACCAATTAAACATTACAGGTAAATATTTGTTCATTGGGATCACTGGGAGGTGACATATTAATAGTAGAGCAAGGGAACACATCACCAAGAGGCCAAGATTATTAATTGAACTGAACGATGGAAACCTTTTGAAGGACACAATCAGGACTTGCCAACTGAGGGTTGATTGCTGCAGCAGGACACCTCCCCTAGGGTGTCATTGTAGTGTTGTGTCCATGCCTCAAAATATAACAAACACTGTGGTGCTGGGCTTTTTTTCTGACTGGTTAGACTCAGATTTCAGTATAAAAATTAAAGCATGCCTGCAAACCACAGCAGTTATGGTTTTATTTACACACACATTCAGGCTGAGCGTAAGGTGGAGTTGCTCATAGTATTAACACCAAACAGTTCTTATAGAGTTGGAAGGGACTGAAGGGTCATCTCGTTCAACCCCCTGCAATGCAGGAATCATAGCTAAAGAATCCCTGACAGTGGACCAGACAACCTCTTGTTCCTACATTAGGTCTCTAGGGACCCTCCAAAAACATCACTCTGGGTTCAGCGCAGAGAAGAAGTCAAGCCTCGTTCTCTCAACTCCAGCTCCAGGCAGAAGTAGCCCAACTCTGACCCATTGTTCACTTTCCAGTCAGAATGACTCTACTACCAGCTAGGGGAAGGGAAAGGTCTATCCCTTCTTCTGGAAGTCTGGGGGCAGGCAGAGAGAGAGAGAGAGAGACATTTCTAGAGCAACACACCTTGACTTTTCAATCAGCTGTTATTAGACATGCAAAGAGATACTTAGACCTGGTTAGAACCATTAACTCAATTAAGAGATTAGCTTGAGTATTAAACAGTTCCTTCTTCTACAGAATCCCACCATACAGAAGTAAAGCCACAGGCCTGGAGGGGACCCAAAAACTAACCTCCCAATCCTATATCAGGAATTAATAGGGCTGCTGTGAGGATAAAATGGGGAGACCAAATCATGTACACAGGACTGGGCTCAGCGGACAAGAGGCAAAATAAGAATATAATTAATAACAGAACCTTTGTGAGATTTCTTCCTCGGCCTGGCCTGCCTGCCTTTCACTCCCCTCATTGTGGTTACTCAGGCTGTAAGCATTCTGTGATGGTTTGTCCATAAGAACGTGAGGGCTCCTCCCATCCAGTTCAGCCTTTTGTTCTCAAAGTGGCCAACCAGATGCCTGTGGGAAGTCCGTAAGCAGGACATGAGCACAATAGTACTCTCCCAACTTGTGCTCCCAACAAACTAGTATTCAGAGGCATTGCACCTCTGACACTGGTACCTTCATCATGGTTAGTGGTCATTGATAGTCTTCTCCTCCATGAATTTGTCTCATCACCTTTTAAAGCCATCCAGTTTGGTGGTCACCACTACCTCTTGTGGTAGCAAATTTAACTTTGTTAATTTTGATGGTGACTAGTGCCCATTGGGATTGGGAGAGTGGAAAGCAGAGGGACCAACCAGGGGTGTAGGAAGGGGGCAGTGGGGGTGAATCGCCCCGGGTGCCCTCACTGAGGGGGGTGACATTCGGTGCGCCGCGCGCCCATGACTCCCAAGCCTACCCTGAGCCGTTGGGGTAAGGGGAAGGAGCTGCGCCACTTTGCCAGCGGCATTCTCCCCCTTCCTCCTTTATTTTGACTGCTTGGGGGAGGCTTGGGAGTCGCAGACTGGCAGCTCATCGAAAGTCTGCCATGGGGGCTCACTCCGCCCCCGTGGGTGGCTCGCTTTGCCCCTGGCTGCAGGGCGTATGCACCACTCTGGACACCCGAGCGGCTATCCTGCGCCTGGGAGGGCACCCTCTGCGCCACGCCCCCCTCGGGAGTGCTCCCGCCCTGGGCAGCGTGGGCATATGCTCCACCGCTGGGGCCAATAGCGGGTGCAGCCAGAGCGAATGTTAGGCTGAGCCAACTATTTCTAGTTTTGTCCCTATTCTCCCCCATACCAAGTTATACAAGAGTAACTCTGAAACTAAGGATTTCTTTCTTTTCAACCCAACATTTATAATTATTTGCAGGAAACACAAATGTTAGGGAATTCTCTTTTTTCAAGAAGAGGATTTTATATTCATGAAGCTCACATTGCCATCACCTGGCCAGTAAAATTTATTTTCTGCCTTAAACTTAACAATAACTAAGTTGCCAATTGGCACTAGTACTTCAGTGGCTGATTCTACTTATGCACTTTATTTCTGGATAATCGCATTTCCCACAGTGATATCATCCCCTGTGTTGCTTTATTTTAAAATATGTGAAAAAATTCATTTGCACTTATGTTCAAGACTGCCTTCAAGCTTTTTACAGGTTTGTACTTTGGTTACTGAGGTCAATTTTTGTATCTCTAGATAAGCCCACCTATTCAGCCTACTAGGGAGAGCCAATCATGGTGGTCATGCCTCCTTGATACATCTGAGCAGAAGCTACTATATGTTTCTACATGTATAACATCATCCTTGTTTATAAAACCCAATAAAAAAAGAAAGCGGTTAGAGTTCTAGTGAAATATCAATTCTATATTTTTCTTAACAACACCCTAGTTGAAGCTTCTGGTAATTAACCTTAAAAAGTTATCTAGTTACTAAATATATTAACGTAGATTTATATTACATCTCTTCTAAAAGCGTTAACATATGTCAACCTTCCCTTGTCTGACTTGCTTTTCTGATGGTGAGCTTCTATTTCCTTTTGTAAAATTGTGTAAGGTGCCCTACATTGGTGGTATGGTACAATTAATTGGCCTAATAATTATTAAAATTTCAGGAAACTAATTATGACGGTCCTAAAAAAGGGTTTAAATGACACACATGATGACACATTTATACTATGTAAGTTGCACACTGTGTTATATTGGTCACAACAACTATTGCATGTAAAACACATTTCAAGCAACATCTCAACCCATTGTTTTAATGCTAACAAGCTCAAAGAAGAAAATAAACATGGTAATCTTTTCTCTCCCTTTAGCTCTACCTTTAATCAACACAAAAGAGGTCCAGGTGGCGCTGTGGGTTAAACCACAAAGCCTAGGACTTGCCGATCAGAAGGTCGGCGGTTCGAATCCCTGTGACGGGGTGAATTCCCGTTGCTCAGTCTCAGCTCCTGCCAATCTAGCAGTTTGAAAGCACGTCAAAGTGCAAGTAGATAAATAGGTACCGCTCCGGCGGGAAGGTAAACGGCATTTCCATACACTGCTCTGGTTCTCCAGAAGCGGCTTAGTCATGCTGGCCACATGACCCGGAAGCTGTATGCCGGCTCCCTCGGCCAATAAAGCGAGATGAGCGCCGCAACATCAGAGTCGCTCACGACAGGACCTAATGGTCAGGGGTACCTTTACCTTTACCTTTTAATCTTTTCTCATAGAGGAGTTTCTCCAGCTCCATAAACACTTTGGTTCCCTTTTATGGACCTTTTCCAGCTCTACAGTATATTTTTGAGATGTAGCGACCAGAATAGTGTAGAGTATCTCAAGTGCAGTTGCTCCACAGATTTGTAGAACAGCATTATGATATTGGCAGTTTTATTTTCAATCCCATTCCCAATGATTTCTAACTTGGAATTCATTTTTTGCACAGCAGTCACACACTGGGCCAACAACTGTATCAAGCTATCTGCTATGACCCCAAAGTCTCTTTCATGGTCAGTCGCTGCCAGTCCAAAGGTGTATATGTGAATTAGCCATTTTCGCCCCAAGGTGTACCCTTGCTTACATTCCCAAGACATAAGCATATTCCTGAACATTCATTTATTGCAGAGGGCCACAAGGAACCAGTTTTCAGCTGGATAGGAATGTTAGATTTAAAAGATTATATGTTATGGCAGTGCCAAATTACACACCTAGAAAAAAAGAGTAAATCTCCCTCGGGTTTTCCTATATCTGGCTGCCCAGAATGTAATATAATGAGAAGCAAAGCGTGGGAGCAGTCATATTATGGGTGTGGTTCCTCAGCCTTAATAGATCTGAGCTGAATTAACTCCAGACAGGATGTTTTGGCCATAAATGGATTAGTAAAAGGGTGGAGACGTGCCAAGCATTCCCTGAATGTAGCCAGAGAAGGCTACCCAGATGTTGGTTAAGCTACTGCAAAACAGAGCAATGCAATATGATCTGGCAACTGGATCTGAGCCAAATCATTTACTACTCATCGGTGTCTGTCCCTTTGTGACAGGGTGGCTGAGAGAGCCATTGAGAGGTACCAGGTACACCTTCATTTGTTGGCAGTAGTTATAACACCACTGGCATTATACTAGTGTTGTTATTTCCACACACTGCAATTCCTATCAGCAGAAGTTATACATTTACCTGTAAACTCTGCTTAAAAACCTCCAACGAAGGAGAGTCCACCACCTCCTGTGGGAGTCTGCTCCACTGTCAAAGAGTTCTTACTGTCATAATGTTCTTCCTGGTGTTTAGTCAGAATCTCCTTTCTTGTAACATGAATCCATTTGGTTTGGATCCTACCCTCCGGAGCTGGAGAAAACAAGCTTGCTCCATCCTCCATGTGACAGCCCTTTACACACCACCAGTTGTGAGGTAATAGCACAGTAGGCACAACTAAATTATCATGTCTTCTCAGGATTTAGAGAAGACAAATGTCTACACTACAGCCAGTGGATTTAGGGTAGCAGAGGCTTTCCAGTGGATCTGGAAAGTCACCCACCATTTTTTTTTTTAAATGATATTTATTAAAATTTCAGAGAAAAAAAGAATTAAACAAAAACAAAAAGTAAAAATACAAGAAAAATACAAAATACAGAATAAAAGAATAAAAGACACTTAAAAAGAAAAATAAGAAAAATGGATCAATCTTTCCATAGCTTACATTCATATCCTTGTTTCCCTGACCTCCTCATACCTCCCTTTTTTGTATTCCAGTTCAATTATTTAAGTCAGCAATTTCTTTCCCTCTTTGTTTTCTCATGATCCTTTAACTTAATATACTATAACTTTAAATTTTCATCTGTTATCAATCCTTTTTTACATACACCTTTATAGCATTACTGCTTAAACCACCTAACTTCATTCCAACATCATTCTAACATTCATTAATTTTGCAATATTTCTGTAAATAGTCTTTAAATTTCTTCCAATCTTCTTCCACCGACTCTTCTCCCTGGTCTCGGATTCTGCCAGTCATTTCCGCCAATTCCATGTAGTCCATCACCTTCATCTGCCATTCTTCCAGCGTGGGTAGGTCTTGTGTCTTCCAATACTTTGCAGTAAGTATTCTTGCTGCTGTTGTGGCATACATAAAGAAAGTTCTGTCCTTCTTTGGCACTATTTGGCCGACCATGCCCAGGAGAAAGGCCTCTGGTTTCTTCAGAAAGGTATATTTAAATACCCTTTTCATTTCATTATAAATCATCTCCCAGAAAGCTTTAATCCTTGGGCACGTCCACCAAAGGTGAAAGAATGTACCTTCGGTTTCTTTACATTTCCAACATTTATTATCGGGCAAGTGATAGATTTTTGCAAGCTTGACTGGTGTCACGTACCACCTGTATATCATTTTCATAATATTCTCTCTTAAGGCATTACATGCCGTAAACTTCATACCTGTGGTCCATAACTGTTCCCAGTCAGCCATCATTATGTTATGTCCAACATCTTGTGCCCATTTAATCATAGCAGATTTCACCGTTTCATCCTGAGTATTCCATTTCAACAGCAAGTTGTACATTCTTGACAAATTCTTAGTTTTGGGTTCTAACAATTCTGTTTCTAATTTTGATTTTTCCACCTGGAAGCCAATTTTCTTGTCCAAATTATATGCCTCCATTATCTGATAATAATGAAGCCAGTCTCGCACTTTGTTTTTTAGTTTTTCAAAACTCTGCAGTTTCAATCTATCTCCATCTTGTTCTAAAATTTCCCAATATTTCGGCCATTTGACCTCCATATTGAGCTTTTTCAGGGCTTTCGCTTCCATCGGTGACAGCCACCTTGGGGTTTTATTTTCCAATAAGTCCTTATATCTTATCCAAACATTAAACAAAGCTTTCCTGACAATATTATTTTTAAATGGGATTTTAGCTTGTTTTCCTTTCTTTTTTGCAGGGAAATACAGTTCAGACCTTTCCCCCCCCCCCTGCAATCAAGGGGGGGAAATCACTTGTTTGATGTTCGAATTATAATCTTTTTCCAACGTCTTTTAAGGTTTCCGCTTACAAGTTCACTGCTTTACTCCATTTACAAGAACGGAAGGCAGACTTCCTGTTTATGCCTCTCCACTTCGGTGCCAAATTATTTGTAAAGTTCCTTTAATTCCGAAATTAGCCTACTCACGGATCATTGTTTTGCAGCCAAATTGTCCCAGGAAAAAGGCAGCGCTCTCCGGTAACGGCTGTGCGGCTTCGCTCCACGGAAGAAGCAGATGACTCACAGCACCGCGCCACTTCCCCGCTCCGCTCCGGAGCCCGTAGTCGGGCTCCTTTGCCAATTGGGGGGGCGCAGAAGGTGCCCGCCGAGTCCCACGGTCACAGGCTTCACCCGCCTGTGATTTTTGAAGGGTCCCTGCTTCGCCATAGCGGTGCAGACCCGATTTCCGCAGAGCCGGTTCCCTCCAAGTCAGAAGGAATCCGCCATTACCGATGGCGCCACCCCGGAAGTCACCCACCATTGTTTTTTTGCCCAGAATGCCAATGTAGCATTGCACCAGAGCATGGCGGGAAAATAGCAGTGGTGGTATGCTTTTCAGAAAGCCACTGTTACCCAGTAAAGTCTGCAGCTAGAGGAGAGTGTGGACCAGCTGTGTGTAGGAGGGAGAGAGGGAAGGAGGTTCTCACCCTAGGCATATCCCATAGTGCATATTTATCCTTGCCCATTTAATATCTGACATCATTTTATAAACCTTGAACTTTAAGTTGACTTTCATTTTCTTTCGCTGTATGGTTCCCTGACATAACTTCTGGAGTTTTATAAGCACTGCCAGACCTTTTCCTTCTTGTTTCTAATTGTGGCACCAACGGTTGCCCAGAAGTCCACAGGCCTGGGTGGGTGTGTCAGGAATGATTCAGAAAAGATGAAATGCGCACGGCTAAAGAAACTGTATCCCTATGGAAACAGAAGAAATGTTACACTCTCCTGCCTAGCCAATTTAAAAACCTCTCTTCTTATGTTCAGAGTGGCACGTAGCACTATGCAGCCACTTACTGTAACCAGCTGTTTATCTCTGTGATGCACCTAATGATCATCACACGCTCAACAGATGTTTCACATGAGAGCAAGAAAATGCATCCCTTTTATCATACTGGTTGAGAACAACCTTATTATATCCAGATCTTATCCTTGAAAGGGATAATTTATATTATACATCATCTGAAACGTGTGGTGTGCACTTAAGTCTCACTGAAATCAATTGTTCTTAAGTATATCTAATGCTGAGCTGGGGTGTATTTTTTCCTCTCTCTTTCAAATAAATCTTCTTGAGATGTATCTATTAATGATAAATTAACATGTGCTGTTAAGGTAAGATGGGGAATATGCAGGAGAAATGATTTTGAGGAGATATGGAAGGTATTCAAAGAATTAGTACTG